CCTCGTCTTCTGGGATGCTGGCGTGGCTAAGTGATGCTGCCCTAAGAACTCTTCTAAGGTGAGGTAATGTTGGCTTGATGGAGTGTGGTTCGTAGCTTGTTCTTGTACGCTGTGCCGTGGCTCGTTTGTAGACCTATAAATCGTGCCAATATTGGGCCAATACTGAGGGGTATACCAATTTCATGATTCCCTTCAAAAGATTTTGCGCAGGCTTTGGAATGTCGATCTACACCCCAAAGCAAACCTACCTGCAAAATTTGAGCGAAATCTGAGAGATCGACTTGCACATATGTTCCAGTTTTCTCAGACATGCTCTCTTAAGAATATTTGTGAATATTTAGGTTCAGTGATGGCGGCTAACATACCAGGCGGTAAACCGTAATAGGAGGAATAGAACACAAGACAAGTAATGAAAAGAATTGCATGAAAGCAAAAACGTGATAGAAAAATTGGAACCCTACTCAAACACAGGAAAATTCAATGAAGCGAGCACTGTCATAGAATAAGTATGCCATACACTCTCAGTAGTATGACAGAAAAGAAACATGCTAAGAGAAATGACATGATGTACTTGTACCTAACAATATCACACTCCGGAACACCACAGGAATTGACTACATCCTACACTCGGCCATCGCCAAGGGGCGCAAGGCATTGATAGGGCGATGTTACGTTACGCCTTGGCGGATAATGCTCGAAAAGGTGGCGGATTCTGCTTTTTTTGCACCAAAATTGGCAGAACCATACAAACCCTATGGCGGGCAATTCCTCGAATTTCTTTATCCACATACCAAACATGCATGAAACTTACCAGAAAAAGTACCGAATTCTGCAAATTTTTCTGCCGGCATTATCCGCCAAGCCGTATGTTACGTGGAGCGCGCTCTTCTTACGCACATGATGGTTTCGCGAAGTACCGCAAAGGATAGCTGACATTGCAGGTAAGACATCACTTGCCCATAAGGTTTGCCGTCATGCTTCGCCAACATGCCACGCAAGCGCTTAAGAAACATTCGTGGGATGTTCTGCCAGTCGTGGAAAAGACAAGCGGAGTAAATTTCGAAAGGTGAACATGCACAATCTCTTCATTGTACTGCAATTTCTTCTGCCTCTCGTGTTGCAGAAAAAGTGCAGAAATATTCCTACAAGCATATGGAGCTGCATGTGGATGGAACACGCGTGCATCGATAACATTTAATACGTTTTGCGCACGAGTCCCAAACCCTCATACTCGAAGTACGCGAATGGCCGACCTTGTGTCACTTGCTGTGATTGTACTGGCTGCAGTGAATACTTCACCCTGAAAGGGAGCTAACAAACGTTCAATCGTTACATCAGGCCAAACTATAGGTAGCAAATCAGCAAAGATGTCACGCACTTCCTAATAATTATTATAACATTGTTCCTGACGTGGGGAAGCCCCCCGCGTCGGAAAGCACATGGCATGTGCTGGAGTGAAATCCTTGCAACATACAAACGTTAATGGTACATCTTTCAGAGGCCGTCCATACCTCAATACAATGGCATCGCGGAAGTCACAACTCGACAGGCTGAAACCATGCTCCTTCAAGGGAAGAATATTCAGCCAGCCAGAGACACCCTTGGCGGAAAGGTGCTCAAGCTGGCGAACAGTTGATGCATCTGGCATCCTACGCACGTCAGCACATCGCAGGTTATCGATTTCCACGCGACGTTTTGCAGCAGCAGCTTTGGCACGCTTGGCGGAATCACAGGCCAGTTCAATAGAAACCGATGAAGATGACGCTTCTTTACAGTCAGTTTGTGATTGAAGGAACTCGAACAAGATTATAAGATCATAATAAAAACAAGGCATTAATTTCTATTTGAAACTCGGATGTTGAGCCATAAAGAAATGTAGAAAGGAAAAGGAAATAAGGGTACGAGTCAGTTACAGTGATGGAGAGTTACTCTGAACTCGTATCCTTATTTCCTTTTCCTTTCTACATTTATTTTTATTTATTACTTGCATGTACGAGTGAGCTAGAACGATGATATAATGATTTAATTATCATATACAATGTAGCTCATGGGTATTGAACATAATATTATGTCATTTATGAATATGTCTATATGTCATTGAATATTGCAGCCTGAGTGATAATAATAGGGCTGTTTCCTACAGCAGCGAACCCAGCTTGCGCGTTGTCCTCCACTCTTCATCGATCCTGTCCGCACTTCTGAAGATGTTCGTATACTCAGTTTTGTCCCGGTTCATGATCAGGGACCACTGTAGTAGCACCGTGCTGGCAGTCGCCTCCACGTCCGCCAGCCAGGACTTTGAGGTGCTGACAAAGTCTGCATCGTCCGCATACACAAGTTCGAGCGGCCGACCGCTGTCTGGTGAGGTGTTTGTCGCAGCGTCTATGAATGCAGCCGATGATGCCCGGGCAGAAATTCGCGCGAGGGGGCTGTGGACCCGGGCCCAGAACGCCTACATGGACGTTCGAGTATTTCACCCTGATGCGCCTTCCTATGCTGGGTTTTGGCAGAGCACGACCGCAGAAAGAAATCTGAGTTTGCTGAACGCATAATCAATGTGGATCTTGTTACATTCACTCCTCTCATTTTCACCACGGCCGGTTGTTGTGCGCCAGATTGCTCGCGTTTCATCAAGCGTTTGTGTGGTCTGCTTTCCAGGGGAGAGAAGAAGAAGTATGCAGAGATGACGACATATGTAGGCTGTCGCCTCGCCGTTGCATTATTACGGTCAACTATTATGTAAATTCGCGGAGCTAGATCATCCTACCACCGACCAGTCAACGCACTGCGTGAGTTGGCGGTGGCTGAGGGACGCCTGTGAGTCGCTGAGAGACAATGGCCGTTTACATCACATTCAGAGGTGGATTTTGTATTGTCCTTGTCTAAAGTTAGTTGTACTATGATTGGATTCGTTTCATGTTGGTTTTGGGCATTCCGCCTGGAGAGCTATGTGCCAGAACTTTGCAGCTTAGAGAGCGTGTGTGGGCAGGCGTGTGTTTACCGCCATATTGCCAGGTGTGTCTTTACCACCATATTTATCAACCATAAGTATAGCTGCAGTGGTGTCTTCAACTTCATTCTCCCGAGTCAAGCTCCGTATGAAAACATCCAAGAAGAAGATTGCCTGATGAGTCACGCGGGGACGAAGCGTACGTCGTAATCGAGCTATGTCGTTGCTGTGTCATCTTCTAAGTGCCATGCGCTACTTGATGTACCAGCCTGCTATGTCGGATACCGCCAACCATGCATCGACCAGGCGCCAAGTGCAAACTGATGGTGGTGGTGGTGGTGAGAAGGAGAGCTCTGTGCCAGAACTTTGCAGCTTAGAGAGCGTGGCCTGTGTTTACCGCCATATTGCCAGGTGTGTCTTTTCCACCATATTTATCAGCTTGGCAAATCATTTCATCTAACGTGGTCTGATATGAAAAAAGCCAAAATGTGTGTTCCCATGAAGAGGACATCACGATACTAGAAACAATTTGCTGGTTAACTCAGGTTTATCTCGCTAAACTCCTGTTTGGGTCAGAGAGTCAGAGAGTCAGAGAGTGGTCGAATAGCAGTCCAAATTGAAATCTTGATGAATGCGTTATCTTTGAAAGACAATTCAAAACAAAAAAGACTTTGTAGACACATTGTGCAGCATAAAAGTCAATCAGTCACCAAGACAAGATTTGAAGAGTTTTACTGGAGTCTCCGAAATAAGAATAATGCATGATGAACATCGTTGTACACGATCAGAAAACCAAAAGAGAATCAGCTTGAAGACCAATTCACGCCTCCATTGTTGTTTTCTCAGAAATTCCGAGTCCAAGCTTAACAGTGTAGTTAAACCCTCATTCCATGTTTACATTTTTTTACTACGTAACCAGTTTATTGGGGTCCTTTTGCAATCCAGGAATCTATTGTTCGGTATTCTTGCAAACTCTCCATTTTATATAACTTGTGTGCTGTGTTACCTTCCCATAGACCAATGCTTTGATCAAACTGCATTTGTTGACAGCTCTGAAGTTTGCCGGGATAATTTTCAAGTTGCAAAATACCAGCCAAAACGATCCTGGGGTCCAAAAGGACCCCAATATACTGGGAGCATAGGAAAAAAGGCAACGTGGAATAAGGGATAATGCCTGTAGGAGAACAATTTCTTGTAGGGCCTCATACGTCAGTGGATGTCATCCATGTGTTCGGTGACCATGGAGATAAATACCAAAACTAGCCTCTAACCCAAATTACGTATGTATTTCGGTTATGCCGTTTTCATTATGCAGAGCTCACGGACTTGTCAGTTTGAGCACTCCGGCAAGGTATGTTCGGGCCTGGTTTAAGTAGGGCTTTAAATAGGGCTTTGCAAAATATATTTTTCATTGCTATCAGGTTCGGCCTCATTTTAGCTGTTCTGCTCTGATAAATCCACAAAGGACGAAACAGGTCTGGAACAGATCTGTCCGCAGATTGAGTATTTCGCTCCTGCTCTTGTAGCAGTTGAGCGCTCTGGCAAGGTACTTTCTGGCCTGGATTAAATAGGGCCTTAAAAAATTATTTTTCATTGCCATCAGTCTTGGCCTCATTTCCTCTGTGGTGCGCTGATAAGTCCACAAAGGACGAAACAGGTCTTTCCGCAGATTCAGGATTTCGCTCCTGCTCTTCTAGCAGTTGAGCACTCTTGTGTGGGGTAGCGCTTTTGGCGTTTGTGTTATGCAGAGCTCACTGACTTGTCAGTTTAAGCACAATGACAGGGTACGTTTGGCCTGGTTTAATTAAAATAGGATTTTGGAATTTTTTCATTGTAATCATATTTGGCCATATTTCCTCTGTGCTGCGCTCATGAGTCGACAAAAGATGAAACAGGTCTGTCTGCAGATTGAGTACTTATCTAGGGTATTGTGTTGTTGAGGAATACATTAAATTTCAAGGAGATGTGATGCAGCAAAGCAAAAATATTTCAAAAATCATACCCCTGGGGACCCTTTGGACCCCACAACCCGGAATGAGGGTTAACTTACAGGTACCCAAGATTTGGTAGGTTTTCAAATAGATATGTAGGAAGGCTTGCAAGTTGATTATTGTTCAGAAGTCTACAAAAGGAGAGGAGAAAAGGGGACTAAAACATTTGCGAATATTTGGGTTCAGTGATGGCCGCTAACATACCAGGCGGTAAACCTTTATAGGAGGAGTAGAACACAAGTCAAGGATCATTTAAACACAATTGCATGAAAGCAAGAATGTGATAAGTAAATTGGAACCCTACTCAATCCCAGCAAAATTCAATGAAGCGAGAACTGTCATAGAATAAGTATGCCATACACTCTCAGTAGTTGGAGCTGGTTGAATATTATTTAAACGCTCAGGGAATTCCAATGTCAGTTTCCGGTTGTGAAGTGCTGCGAATGTGTCATCCTCGCAACGCCTATAAAATTGGGGCCAATGCCTATCTGGAATTGTGTTCTCAAAATATCCAACAAAGATATTGGCTAGGACGGGGCCCAATGGTGAACCCATGGCGACTCCGTCCCTCTGTGCGTACATATTATCATTAAAACTGAACTGCACATCTGATGTGGCTTTGGAAAGCAGCTTCTTGAAAAGATCTTGGGGTATTTGCGGGGCTGATATTTCATCATCATGGTATAGCGACTGTATGCAGATATATTTTGTTTCCTTGAGAGGCACGTTTGTAAAGAGGCTGACTACACCGAAAGAGCACAGGAACAGCGATCCAGAGTTCTCTGCCCACTGCTGACCAAATTTCCTTACATTATTCACGAACTCGCATTGTTAGTCTACCACATACATATACACACAAAATTGTCGTATTTGTTCATAGATGCATTAACTCCTCCTGTAGCCCCCTTCTTCACCAATTATTCACCCGAACGGCCCCGGGGACTGTTCCGGAGGATCAGCGCACCACACGGGGACAAGTGTCGAACTTGCTTCAAGTTCCCTTTCTTCGTGGGCCTGGGGGATGATCGACCATGATGTTTCGGGGAAGCATTCTCTGGAACGCTCTCCCCTCTGATTTTAGAGTGATAGGTGTCCCTGGTCCCTTCCGAAAAGCTCTTTCTGCCATTGATATACTTACCTTTTGAATATCCTCGTTATACCTTCATCATCTGCCATAATATCCAACCTTCTCATCTGTCAATCATTTGTGCATGCATGTCTAAAAAATAAACCACGTATTCCTGACTCCATGAAATTGTCTTTCTATTCTTTGACTTCATGAAATTATTGTCTTTCTATTTCTGACTCCATGAAATTGTCTTCATATAATATTTTTCCTTTTCTTCTTTTGCTCCTTTCTGTCTTATATTATTATTATCATTTTTTGTTTTCCCTTGCATATCATCCCTTCATCAATCTGTGAGAACCTGTCCTATGGGCAGGTGAGAAGGCATCTCTGCCTGTTCATTTGGTGAAGTAAAATAAACAACAACAATAACAGCAATGTATAAGGCCCTTCATTACTTTAATTGCTTGCCCGCCCGGCTTCGCGAAAACCCTTCTCGTACTCCCTTCAAACCCGAGATATCCTTGCTGTTGCACAACTCTGTATGCTCGTGTAGTGACCACCCCTGCCCATACACTTAAGTACACAACTCTGTATGCTCGTGTAGCGACCACCCCTGCCCGTACACTTAAGTAGTCATTAACCCCTCACGTCTGTTTTTTTGTGCGATTTCACGCCACTTAACAATATGGCCACCAAAAGTCTCGACTGGGCTTCAATGGCAAGAAAATTTGAATTTTCAAATCGTCAGAACACGAGTAGGTCATGGTTTCCCCTGGATTTTGGAGACTAGTCAGCTCGGACAGCCCGGGGACCACGCTGATTATCTGCGTCTTGTTTCAAGCTTTGCGCTCGTACCTCACATGACTGCCTTTCCTTCAAGAAACATTTGTTCTGTGTCGTGCGACTTTGGCTTCGTTCTGGAATACTCCTTGTGTCATCGCTGACAAACTCGGCTCCGTGAAGCCCTTCCCGATTTTTTTCGATAGTTTCCCAGGTAAACGACTATCCTCTGGTTGTCTTCTCCAAGTGTCATTAGAATATGCGCGTGAACTTCTAAATACGCTCGACGAGTCCGGAGCCGGTTTTCTCTTGATTTGGAAGACAAATGGTGTGACCCTTTAGTTGCTGTTGAGTGTAGAAGGCTGCTTCCTGCTGTAAATTGCTAAGTCGGCATGTGGGATATTGTAGAAGAAGACAGCAGCCGGCCAAGTGAGCTTGAAATTGTGATATCTACCCTATTGTGCGTTGAACGATTACGAAATATCTAACTTGAATGTTGTACACGCGTGCACGCCAAGCAGAGAATGACAATCACTGGCGAGATCAACCTCCAGACTGCCAGGAGTAGTTCGAGCAAGTTTGAAGGCAGACCAGGACGCCTTTCCAACCTCTTTCTCTCTCAAATTGCCGAAAAGTCGAGTATCTCGCTCAAGCGCTTTCAAACCTTTTCTCTTGGTTTCTTGTCCCAAATCGTGGAACCACGCGAGGATCGACATGAGTTTCTCCCAAAAACGCAAACTCATCGCGTATTTGTACTATTCGCACAATGTTACATAAATCGCACCGAACGACGCCATATTTATAAGTGCCTGCACGTGAACAGCCGTGCCCTAGGCCCTGCCCACCCAATTCTTCCTCTCCTTCCACTCCTTCTCCTTTACTGTTATCTCTTAGGGGTCGTCCGCAATTATCGAAAGTTTTTTCCAATCCGTAGCAGCTTCGAAAGTGGGTGGGTGGGTCAAGGCCAGTTACGGATTGAAAAACTTTCGAAATGACACGTGCGCGTGTCACGTGTACGTCTACGTGTAGCCCCTGTTTTCCGCGCTCGGCTGCGCGCGAACTGTCTACTACAAATATTTTTGTAGTTCTGGCAGTTTCTGCGCCCCCGCGCGCGCTTCCTTGGCTGCTCCTGGGCCGGGGATCATAAAGTTCGGCGCATTCGACGGCGAGTCGACACTTTCTATTTTTGAGTTTCACTGTCTCCTTCGTCCAGAGTACCGTCTTCCATGCACTCCTTTGAAGTCCTTCCGTCTAGCGCTGGCGCTGACGACTGTTATTGACTATGTCCAGACAGGCGACGTTGTTTGGAAAGGCGGTGAAGAAGCAGCCCTTTTTCACATTTCGGTGATCACCAATTAAACATCAATATGGTAGTTGTACCAATAACAACTTATAAACAGAAACAAAACAATCTCCAGTTAGTGCCACATGTCGGCGACGCAGGCTGCTGTGGTTTGGCCATGTGGTGCGAGAGGGTCCGGAATCCGCCTCGTTCCAAGCACTGGAGCTATCAATCAACACAAACGACATAAAAAAACCCGTGGCCGTCCGCCATTGCGGTGAATAGATAGGATTCGGCACGACCTGAAGGCAGCGGATCTCTCCGTGGAGAGCGCTCTCCAAGCTGCAGGAGAAAGACTTACTTGGCTTGACACTGTTGACAGATGTGTCTACTCTGCTCCTGTCTAACAGGTTCAGGGAAGATGCGAGCTGTGTTTATTATTATTTATTATTATGGTAGTTGTAATACAATACATGATGTCACTATGACTGATGGACCAGCACTGATTGAGTTTGTTCCATATGTGTTGGGTTGTGGGTCCACCAATAATATTTTATTACGGACTGGGGAGGGGGGGGGGGGTGGGTGAGGAAAAATTTGAAGCTGCTACGGATTGGAAAAAACTTTCGATAATTGCGGACGACCCCTTATTGGCCACTGGCTATCGTGAGAAAAAAGATTTGAAACAACAACTCGAAGGTATCCCTGGTTGTGTGGGCAGAATATTTGTTCAGGACTGGCTTTAGCAATTCGGCTAGCCACTTGGCCATTTCGTGTTGGGTAGCATTGATCATCGACAGGGTAGGTCTAAGGGGCACGTCTTTCTTATGTACTTTCGGCACGTCGTAGAGGACAGGTCGGCACGAGCCAACGGGTCGGATCCGGGTCGTAATCTATATAGATTATTTTTACAGCCTTCTTGTATCGCAAGAGGGTGGTGGCGTTCCTGCGGATGCGGAAAACTGGGCCTTTGGCCGAGTCTCACGCGAACCGTGAAATGTTTTTTTTTTTTTTTGTATCGCAATATGTATGCCTGCAAGACGCATTCAACAAGGTAAGTGCGGTCATGCGTTTCGGTCGGTCCCAGGTGTTGAAACTTCGATGCATCGGCCAGAATAGCATTCATCTTGTCATTGTAATCACTTTGCTGCATTATCACCACTCCAAGTTGAGTAGATGGGCGTGTTTTAATTCGTTTGAGCCCTTCTTATAGCGCACCTCCCTCCTGAGTGCTTCGTCAAACTTACTTTTGATCCGGCATTGTAATATTGAGGAGCTTGGTGAACCTGAAGCGGTCCAGCACGCTGATGCTCCGATTGACTTCGTGAAGAACACGGCGGTACTCAAAGAGAAAGTGTTCCAAGCCAGCGGTGGTCCTCTTCAGTTCGATTCTCCATGGCTTCTTGGCTTTAACTCTCTGCACTTGCTTCTTGGTGGAGCGGGGCGCAACGCAGCACGTAAGGCAGTTCTGTAGAAAGTCTGCATTCTCACGACCACGGATGATCTGGCCTATGCACTTTAAAACATAATTCAGGTCTTGAATTATCCGGTGGTTCAGTCGCCAATTTAGAGAGGTAGGCGAACAAAATTTATATACACACTACCCTTTGCATGCTGAGCCCCTTGTCTCCAATCCACTGGCTTTCCAGCGCTCTGACTCTCTTGGTTGAGTATGCACTCACAGCTCGGAACGAAATTTATTCTCATTTCACTCCACCTTGATGGATTTTCATCGTCCTGGGCTCATTGGAAAGATCAGGACCAAGCGAATCCATCCTGGCAGCTCTCAGCTCCATAAACACATTAGGGCCACTTCCACGACCCTCTCCAAACCACTCCACCGTGCCTCGGAACGGCACAACAACTCAATTTCACATTCTTGCTCGGCTTCTTGCCCAAATTCAACAGATTTTCACAATTCAAACTGCGCTGCATGTACAAAGCTCAGATCCAAGCGCTTCATTTGATGTCCAGCACGCATGCGCCGCGCCAAAGGGAAA